CAGATGTTTTAATGTACTGATATTTAGCTAAGAAGCGAGGTCCGACAGAATGCCCAGCAGTTCTGAATGGTTTTGGGCGAGATCTCGTCGTACTCCAACAAAGAGCGGTGTAGATATCAACTTTCTCTTGGTCCCGCCCTTCTAAAAAGCGGTCGACACAGTCAAGTACCTTTAAATCCCTGTACTTACTCTTTAAGGCTCGAATAATGCCTTGATCCAACGGCTGCAAACACGAAGTCGTATTCTTGGGCAAAAAACGCCAGACGTGCATTGCTCAATGCAATGGCGGGTCGTGTATGTGAACTCACGTTGTCGACGAGCAGCAAAATGCTGCGACCTTCCTTCCACATCTGCAGGTTAACCGAGTGTAGCCACGTCTTGAAAATTACCGTATTCATCCAGCCTTTTTTACTGTTAGCGTATAGCACGCCAAGTTCCTTCCACCCTACAAAGGCTCGAGGAACCTTTGCTGAGCCAATGTAAAGCAGTGGGAGCTTACCACTGCCATCAGCATTCACAGCTAGAGCCAGTGTCAGCCGATGTTTGGGGTCTTTGCGTCCAGAGATCACCTTCCTCTGCGTGAGAGTGTACTTAGCCTCGCTCCGAAAAAAGAACGAGGTCTCATTCATGTTGTAGATCTCGGACTGGGCGTACGAGTCCGTCAGCTTTCGTAGTTTCACACGTCCGGTTTCAGCTGCCTCTTGGTCAACTGACGCAGCTTCGCCGTGCTTCCGCTTCTTGGAGATTCGGTGACGCTCTTGCAATCTATACAGCCAGCCCTTAGCCCTTAGAGAGCTTCAACGTGGTGTTCTCGCCATACGCGTTCACGCAAAGAGCGTTGGCCTTTATCACCTTGCCTGTGATAGCCTCCACCTTGTCGTCCATGGCCTTAAAGACCTTCATAATGCGAGCGTCCGTCTTCTGGTTTGGGGGCTGACGGGTGGCTGACGAGCTGCTTGCGCTCTAGCTGACAGGGCTCCATAGCGGCCCACTTAGACTCCCCAGCGATACCATTGCGAGCGGCATCGCGTGATAGAGATTTTTCCAGCTTGAACGCACGTGTTGCCCACGCTGCGACCTGTGTGTTGGACAGTTTGCCTTTGGCGCGCATATCCTTCGTATACTTGCACATGGCGATCTTCTGCTCCATATTAAGGCGGATCCGGCGCGGCATGGGGCTGGCAGTCATGGTCGCTTGGAAGAGTGATAGTGTGCATGGAGGGAGGCGTACGTAGCGGGAGCATGAGTTACCTCTAATCTCCATTCGCAGTCTTTCAATGGTTTACTTAGCGAAGAGGCCGGACCAGTCTGAAAATGATGGCCGCCGATCCGCAGCTCATCCAAAATCAGTGCATTTTAGTGATTGGCCAGTTGAATCCTGTACGTACGGTAGCAGATATGGCAGGGTATCACGTAAGTAGGTGACGCTTATTAATACTTTGAGGGACTTCTGTAAAGCGTTCTATGTCCTCGATAATGGATAGCCCTGTGCAATCCGCACAAGG